GCCGAGCACTGTATCCTTCTCCAGGAAATGGTCCCTTCTGACAACTGTGATCAAAGTAGGTAAGACAAAGTCTGGATATTTTCAATTCCAAGAAGCGTTCCAGCTGCCGTTTTTCCTTGACAGATTCGTTCATTCTTCTGGCAGTCCACCTAATGAAAATGCCCTTCAGAAATGAGGTAAAATAAAGATATTCCAAAATGTTTTAAAAAATTTGGACAGAGTTCCAAATATAACAGTATATGTAATTACATCTGAAAAATTCCTTTTTCCATGTACTGTACATAATTATTGACATGATATCACATTTATAATCTCTGGGGATTAAGGTTCAGACATATGTGTGTGTGTGTTTGTGTGTGTTTGCTAGACAGAAAGGCAAAGAAAGAAAGACTCACAAAAAGGGTAAAAATGTAGATAAATAAAAATAAATAAGGACTGGACAAAATAAGGATAGTACTGTCTTCTAAGATTTTAAATAAATATATAATTAGAATGCATGGGAACAGTAATACAAAAGGCAGAAGGAAGTTAAAGTTGGTTAAAGGTCCTATTGTTAGGTAAATGGTAGACTCTATAATTTATATGATATTCTAATAAGTCAAGAATATATGTTGCAATCTGAAGGATAAATACCAAAAGAATAGAAAAAGAATACACAAAGTTTTAAGCTAATAGCGAAGAAAGTAGGAGAAGGCCAAAAAGTGGAGATAACAGGGGAACTGGAACAATCCTTTATGAAGGCCAAAATAACTGCTGAGTGGGGCCAAGTCTGTGTCCCCCTGCTTAAACCAGTCACTGTTGAGTCCATTCAGAATTCTAGCGATCCCAAATGTGTCTGAGTAGAACTATGCTCCATAGAGTTCTCCATGGCTGATTTTCCAGAAGTAAATAGCTAGGTCTTTCTTCCAAAGTGCCTTTGGGTGGACGTGAGCCTCCAACCATTGGTTAACAGCCAAGTGCTTAACCATTCGCAGCACCCAGGGACACATACCTGCTTAGGAGAGAGTAGATTTTGGTGGAATTAGCACTGAACCAAGAAAACGACTTCCTATCATTTAGCGACAGCATATAATAGCAACATTTATTCCATCCCCACAAATTCACCAATGCAAAGAGATTTTAACAGTCACTGATTGTTACTAATATGAGTTTTGAAGGTATTTGTGTTCAGAAAATACTCTCCGTAGGCTTATTTTGCGTCTTAAAATTAATGTTCTATTTCTGAAAGCTACACATTCAAAAACTTAGCTCTTCCTTAATCTTTTAGATTTGGCTTACAGATCTTGCTTTTCTATTTGTAAGACTTGCAAATTTTAGCACTCCTATTTGAAAGGTCTTTGAATACTACAAATTTCATTAATTAAATCCCTTTGATCATTTAAGATTGCAATAATAAGTGTAATATATTCAAACTCCCCTTTAGGCATTTCACTTGTTTAATGAACAAAACCTTCTTAGTGCTAATTAATCTTTAGAAATCTAATAATTTAACTTAGGAATATAATGAACCCAAATTTCTTAGATATTCCAATACTGTGTATAATGTGTGAAGATTTCCATGTAACATGGGAAGTCTAACTCAGCTTATTACACATTTTAAATTGAATTTATGAGACTTTCTTTATAATAGGCCAAGTTCTTTAAACATTATAATGCTATGAAGTACCAAACCTGTCCATATTCCTTAATGCTAGAGTCATAATTCTGTAGCTATTATTATATAGATAATTTCTATACTTGATTCTAAAATTTCCTGGGATTTTAAGATGTTTATTTACTAGGGAAGACAAATGCTGTCCCAATGAATGGAGTTGACTTTTGAGCAGATATCATGGCTAGGACACAATGGGATGTGGCCAGGACCTGGGTGAGCTGCAGAGATGTTCTTATGTGCTAAGGGTACCAAAATGTCAGGAAAGGATGTGGAGGTAGCCTACATTCCTGAATATACATGTACAGAGGCATTGTGCACTTTCTTTAAAATATATTCCTTAAATTGTGAAACATAACACATACGTAAAAATGTATAAGAAAAAATGTACAGCTTAAGTACTTTTATAATTATATAACAAACACACTTGTAATCACCACCCAGCCAAAGAACAGAACATTGCCAGTACCCCAGAGTGGCCAGTGTGCCTTGCCCGGAAATAATCCCATCCCAACTCCAAAACCCTATCATTTTCTTATTTTTCTTCTATATACTTACCACTGAAGCATATATCCCAAATACTATAGGCTATTTTGCTTTTGTAAAAACTTTTTGTAAAAGGGAACCAATAGTACAGACATATATGAATCTAGCTTCTTTTGCTCTATATTTGTAAGATTCATCCTCATTTTTGGGTGCAGTGGTAGCTGTTTAATTTTCATGGTTATAGGGAGTTCTATTGTATTAATACCCTTACATTTATTTGTTCCTTCTCTTCCTGGTGGGCATTAAGGTTGACTCCAGTTTGGGGCTATGTTGAATAGTTTATCTATAAATACCCTTGGCCAAGCCCTCTAGTGCACAGAATGGACATTTCCACATTGGGAAGGAGAGTTCCTGAGTTATGGCAATGTGAGTCTTATGCTTTATTAGCTAATGCCAAGTGATTGTCCAAAATTATTCTATCAATTTACCTTCCTAATAGCAGTAGATCAAAATTCTCCTCCCTCTATATCATCACCAGCACTCAGTATTGTCAGTCTTACTAGTTTTACCAGTTCTGATGAGTACAACATAGTATCTCATTTTGGTTGTAATTTGCATTTCCCTGATAACTAATAAAATAGAAATCTTTTAATAATTATGTTGTCCTGTGGATGTCATCTTTTGTGAGGTGTCCATTCAAATCTCTTACTCATTTTTCTACTGAGCTGCTATAACTATTGGTTTGTAGAAGTTCTTTAACTATTTTTTATATGAGCTCATACTATTTTGTTGTTGGGAGCTCTGGTAGCATAGTGGCTAAGACACTTGCCTGCTAACCAGACAGCTGGCGGTTCAAACCCACCAGCCACTCCTCGGAAGGAAGGTTGGGCAATCCTACTTCCGTAGTGATACTGCCTCGGAAACCCAAGGAGGGGTCGCTATGAGTCGGGGCCGACTCGATGGCACATAACAACAACAACAACAACATTTTGTTGTTGTGGTGGTGGTAGACAGAATGATTGCTCCCCAAAGATTTCCTATCCTAATACCCAGACCCTGTGACTATCATGTTACCTGCAAAAAGGACTTTGCAGATATGATTAAGGGCATGGACTTTGGCTGGGGAAAGTATACTGGAGTATCCAGGTGGGCCTAATATGATCCTGTAAATCCTTAAATGCAGGAAACCTTTTCCAGCTTGGTCAGAGGGAGACATGACTACAGAGGTTTAGAGAGATGCAATGTTGCTGACTTTGAAGGAGGTTGGGGGGGAGTCCTGAGCCTAGGAATGTGGGTGGTCTCTATGAAGTAGAAAAGACAAGGAAACAGATTTTCCCCTGGAACCTCCAGAAGGAATGCAGCTCTACCAACACCTTGATTTCAATCCAGTGAGACACATATCAGACTTCTAACCTTCAGACTGTATGCCATTTTAGGCCACTAGATTTGTGCTAACACATTTTGGCAGAAGCAGAAATGCACAGGCATTGCCAAGTGATTCTATCCTTCTGTGAGTTCCTCTAATTCCCTTAAGGTCTCCTTACAGAATAAACAGAAGTTCCTGAGTTTAATATGTGTACGTTGATCAACTTTCCCTTTATTCTTAGTGCTACTCATCTCCTATTCAAGATATCTCTCCATGGCCAGAGAAGATGGGGACACCTCCACTGTTAGTTTTTTACCTCTCTCTGCACACTTAGCTCTGCAATCCACTTGAGCCAAGGTCTGTATGGTGTGAGGCAGGGACTCATTCTATATATCTAGGGGGGTGTCCCATTGGCCCACACTGCACTGAAAAGATGCAGCAACTCCTCCCTTGTGTGTATGAGTTTGGTTTTTCAGCTGTTTCCAGGGAACAGCTCTTGCAAAGCATTGATTCTCCCATGATTGAAGGCAGAAATATCTTATTTAACTTTCCCCCTTTTTCCTGAGAGTTTTCTAGGCCAAATCTGACCTTTTACAAGATGTATACAGATTCTGTGAATGGATCATTGGGAACAAAGGGGATTTGGGGAAGAGAAGTGCATCTGATGGGTCAATTAAAGGAGGAGACTTGGGGCTTGAGGTTAGAAATCCATAGAAAAGCCACTTAACCTCTCTGGACATCAGTGATTACATCTGCCAGATGGACATTCTAATTCTTCCTCATGCACCAAATTCATGGGAATCCTCCACCTATCTGTCAGTGTGTCATGCAGTGGTGACCTACATGTTGTATGATGCTGGAAGTTATATCACTGGCATTTCAAATATCAGCAGGGTCACCCATGGTGGACAAGTTTCAGTGAAGCTTCCAGATTAAGGCAGACAAGAAAAAAAGATCTGGTGGTCTACTTCTGAAAATCAGCCAATGAAAACCCTTGGGATCACAAGAAAATATTTTCCAATAAGTTGGAAGGCACTGAAAAAGTACACAGTGGTTGCAACAATGAACTAGAACACACCAACTATTGAGAAGATGGCACAGAACAAAGCAATGTTTCATTCTGTTGTACATAAAACTGTCAGGAGTTGGAGCTGACTTGATGGCAACTGACAACAGTGGATGTGGAAAAATGCTCAGAAAGACTGTGCTTGAGAGATATAAATTAAAATTGGAAAAACATGTGGTCTGTCAAAAAGCAAGTACTTTTTGAAACATTCTTTATTCTGATAAGATTTGGGGTTGCAGTTTCTCTGGGATACAAGGATGGGGGGCTGGGGTTTGCAAAGCAAGGTTAACAGAGCTGTGAGGCATCAGGACAGAAATGGAATGACTGAGGACAGAGAACTAAGATTCTGGTTGTGTCATGCCTGTGAGTGTGATATCCCCACTGTGGATGGTTGGGTCCTGATGGGACAGGCCAGGCTGCTGGGCCCCAAGCTAGGTGGGCCTCAGCTTCATCTCAGAAGTCTTGTAGCTGTAGTTGTACCCTTTCCCTGACTTCCAGTTGATGCCATTGGCATAGCTCTCATGGGGTCCCCCGAGGTAATGACCATTCAAGTTCGACTCATGACAGCTGGTGTACCACCAGGCCCCTTGGTACTGTGTAGCACAGTTTGAACTATACACATCATTATCCTGGTCTTTGGTGGAAAAGAAGTGGTTGTTGTGGGATGTCAGAGAATCACCTGTTGAGGAGGAATAGTGGGCATAGTTGGGTGCTAGAAAAAGCCCGGATGTCAGGAAGTCCCCACCTTGCCCTGTGTCCCACTTCTACCTTCCACTTCTCCACCTTCCAGAGACCTGGGGGCTGATACCCAGTCACTTCTAGAGACTTCCCAAGACCAGAGGATGAAGGAGCAGAAGCACCATCTCCCACTACCTGGTCCAGGAACCCTTCCCCACATGGCATGGCCTCTTTCCTCTAGCAAACATCTCTTCCTGTTGGTTTCTGCCAAGACCCTGAGGACTGTTCTCTCTCCTGGAGCATCTCCATCCTTCCAGTCAGCCCTCTGCTCTGGGCTTCTCCCCATACCCCCACTACCCTGGTTGGCTCCAGTCCTGCCCCCGATGCCTGTCATCTTCCATCCAGGAGTAGATCAGGGGGACCAGAAGCTTCAGTCTCTACTCCTGGACTCCATCATGCCATGCCCACTCCCTGAGCCACTGAGTGTCCTGCTTCTCACACACCCATGAACTACTGTCTCTGAGCAGAGCCCTTCCCTGAAGAGGCCTCCTTCCTCTGGTAGGGTTCCCTCTGGGGTTTGTCATATGGCTCCTCCCCCAGTTCCCCTGTATGGCCCTTAGTAAGTTCAGTATGGCCCTCATCCAGGGTACCATCCTGCTCCCTCCAACCCCTGGGCTCAGGCTTAGCTCTGCCTCCTGCAAGGAGTGGTTTAACCCACAAGCCTCAGCTTCACCATCTACAGTGGGGGTGCCGGTCCCTGTCTTCTGCCCTACCCAGAGGCTCAAAGGGGCTCATGTATGTGAAAGGGACATGCAAACTCCCAGATTCTCATGTTCAACCAGGGGCCTTGCACCCTCTCACAAGGGGGTGCGTTGTTCCAGCACAAACTAAGGTTAAACACAGGTAGATGGGCTTCCTGCTGCAGCAGTCCTCCAGGGAACTCATCATGTGCACTGAGAATTGCCAAGTAGATGCTGTATGAGAAAAGACCCCTAAATCATGCGGCTGGAGAATCCTTTAGGGAAAGAATGTCCCATTGAGCTTGTGCCACTGGAAAACAGCCTGGGAAGGAGGACACTGTTGACTTGTGTGAAATGATCATCCCTTTCCAGGTTTTGGAAGTGAAGATGCTCAGTAATTGTTCCCTCAGCAGCTGACATAGCCTGAGGGGCTGCAACAAGTTATAGCACCTAGAGATGCAGGTGTGAGTGTGTTCATTCACAGATTGAGGAATAGAGCTCAGGAGGTGGGGACCCTGAAACAAGGTCATCCAGAGAAAGACAGACCCAAGATTCTGCCCCCATCTCACTGACTGCCCAATCCTGCTCTGAAGATCCCAGGATCCCAGGCATGGTGCAGACACTTACCTGCACTACCCCCTACAAAGTCTCCCAGGATCAGCCTATATTTCTCTGTCTCGACTGCCATCTTGAATGACCTGTATTTGGCAAATTGGTGGTTGCCTTCGAAGTCCACCAGGTCCACACGGAGCTCACTAGTCCCTGTTGGAAAACTATTTTAAATTCCTAGCCAAAGAGTCCTCCTGCCACCAGATATAAAGGTGGGAGTTAGGGAAAGTTCTTGAGGGGTATCTGTATGTGGCATCCAGGGAAAATTCAGGTGAGACTTTATATAAATGTTTTATGAATGTGAAGACCTCAAGGGTGGGCCCTGTTTCAAAATATCTTCTTCACTATCCCTTAAGCCTTGCCTGAAATTCCACCATTGTACTCACTGCATAGAAGGAAATAGCACTCTATTTTAAAAAATGTAAATTGTACTGCAGATGGTGGTTAAGCTCCAACACACCATGAGAGAGTCTGTATTTGTACTTTCCCTAAATTGGGAGAATTTGAGGGACATGAGTGGATGCCCTTGAGGTTGCCAGGACCACTGAATGGAGAGAAAAAGGACCAAGATTTTGAAGTTTTCTCTAAGACAGAAGGCAAGCTGACACTGGTGTAGAATCAGGGAAGAGGACTGGTGGTGTCTGGGAAGGGTCTGTCATGGTCTGAGCCAGGAGAGGTTGGGGAGGGCCTCCACAGCCCTAAGATTCCAGCTCCAAAGAAAGAGCATTGGTGGTACATGGGGATGGAGTTATGCTCAATGTCCCTAGTTCCAAGGTGTCAATGGTGCTATGGTTGGAAGATGACTTCACCTTACTCATCCTATACCCTTGGTCCTCATGGTCTGAGAGCCCAAGGCAGGGGTGCACACCCCTGCACATCACAGTGACAGCATGGATGTGCTCAAAATCTTATCATCTGTAGTCCAGGATCATCTGGGGTTTATGTCTGACGATCCAGGTCAGGGACAGGGCAGTGGGCCAGGCCCCATGACCTTGAGCATCTGGCAGGGCCTTACCCTGGGCAGTCAGGGCTTGGATGTTGTCATTCCCCAGCCAGAACTCTCCCAGCTGACTGCCAAAACCCCGTTTGTATGCAGCCCAGTCCCGAAAGAAGTCCATGGATCCATCAATCCTGCGCTGAAAAACCTGAGGGCCAGAGACATTTGGGGAGAGGGTGGCCAGGCTCACACCTCTCAGCACAAGATGTGACCTGACCCAACATGGGAGCAGCATAGCTCACAGAGTGTCCCAAACCATGTGCATGAGTGCCCACGTGGGCCTCAGCAGGAGCCCAGGATGATCAAGTGGAGTTCTCAGTTTACCAGTGCAGAGGTGGGGCTCAGAGAGGGTGGGTGACAGCCCAAAGCCACATAGCTAGAAAAGAGTGTCCCCTGGATCCCTGACTGGCCATTTTCCCTCACAGAGTACCTCCACCCCCAACCCATCATTTCTGATTCTCTCCTCTTCAGTGAAAAGGAGGGGTCTGTGCTTTATGAGTGATGGATGACAGGGAAACCAAAGCCCAGAGGGGAAGAGGCTATCAGAAGGTCACTGGAGAGAATGGGATTCCCAAGCAGCCCCTTTCCCAGGCTTCACAGCCACCCTGGACCCAACACTCACAGTCCAGCCCCCACTATCTGTATCCATGTCACACAGCACATTCAGGCGCCGGCAGTCAGGGAGGAAGATGGTGTACCAGCCACTCAGAGTATGCCCTTGGGTGAGAAGGTCCTTGCAGGTCTGAGGCCCTAGGGCAGAACCAGGAAATGGGTGCCTTGATAGGGAGCTGGGTAGGTGAGTGGTTGGGGTGAGGCAGGACAGGGTGTCTGACTGGCAGGGGAGGCTGGGGTCTGGGAAAGAGACAGGACCTGCAAGGCCCCTGGTTGTGATTGGCAGATCCCAGCCTCCTGACCATCCTTACCTCCCAGGCCACCTCACCTGGGTCTCTAGGTCACCCAGCCTTCAGAGTAACTGTTAAGCTCTTTCAGAGAAATCATGATGCAATATGCTTGAGATTATGCAGACAGTATTTGCCTGTTACTTGAGACCTTGTGGGGGTAAAAAGTGTGTGGAGTGCTCATCCTTCAACTCTGGGACATGAGTGTAGGCAGCAGTCTCCCAGCCCAAGCCTCCTCCATCTAGGTGGGCCTTGTACTACAGTGGCAGCATGGTCAGTCACCTGCATTGCAGGTCTCTGGATTCCCAGGTTCTCCTGTTTTGGGAAAGAGGAGACAGTTCACAAAATGATAAAGCCAAGGCCTCATTCCTTTTGCCTCAACTGGTCCATGAACACAACAGAAAATGTAAGCAGTTATCTAGGTCTTCTCAGGATGACCATGATCCAGCTCTAATGGATGGTTCTTAGGTGACTCTGATTAATGCAAAGGGTTAATGCGTTCAGCTGCTAACCACAAGGTCAAAGGGTCGAGTGTCAGAAGTGCCTTGGAAAAAAGACGTGGCTATCTACTTCCGAAAAACGAGACACTGGTAACACTGTGGAACACAGTTCTACTCTGAACTATGCACTCAAGTGTCATGAGTTGGAGTGGACTCAAGGGCAGCTGGTTCTGGAAGACTCTACTTCACAGGCAGGTAGTCCTCATCATTGCCTGCTGGGCAACCTGGCCAAGCCTGGACACCCTGGCCAATTGTCAGTATGGTCATTCATCAATACCAACTGGGCCCAATTTGGCAACTTCATTTGGGCCTAACATATGAATGGGCATAGGGGTCAACTCGCCCATCCGTCCCAGTTAAATCAGCCAGTGCAGGGCTACAGGTCAGAGTCTGGGTGTGGAGATGTGCCTAGAACACTTTGGTGCCTGCCTCTGTCTGGCAATCATGGACTTTATTTGTACAAAGCATGTAACTGCATCATGGGGTCATCTGAGACCATGTTTGTTTTGTCCTTTCTGAATTTTACAATTTGAAAAAAAAATGTGCATAAATCAGAAAAAAAAAAAAAAAAGTGTAAATGAGTAGAATGGCTACATTTCTTCAAGAATGTAGTCCAGATATTTAAGATCCTGAGTTGGCCATTAGCAGGCCCCAGGTTCACGACCTCACCAACAATGGAGTAGGCCAGGACCTGTGGAAGCATGAACAAGAGTGAGAGGCCCCATGCACCCTCTTGCCCATGGCCTGAAGGAAAGGGATATAGTACTCCCCTCCATACCCCCAGGCACATACTCTGGGCCAATGGGCCTGAAAAGCAGATGGAATAAAGTCTGATGGCACTTGGGGTCCATGGGATGCCTCACCTTTCTCTCCACGCAGGCCCCTCTCTCCTGCTTCTCCTGGAGAAAAAATGAGATGTGACTGTTGATGTGAGAGCCCTTGTCACTTAGGACACTCATCAAGAAGCCCTCTGTCTGCCCACCTTGGGTGGCTTCCCAAGGTGGAGGGGAGGACAGAGTTGTGGGTGGATCTCAGACTGTGTTCAGGGTCCTTAGACTGATGGTCCTACAGTTCTACAGAGATTCCAGATGCCAGGCTCGGCAGTGGGCAAGAGCTGAGGCCAGGCTTCCCACCCTGGGTGTGAAGGGTCTCTAGACCCAGGCCCTCACCTCGGACCCAGGGCCAAAGCATAGGCCCCTGGACTGTCCTGAGGCTCTTTGGGAAAACGTGATGGAAACTCAAAGAAGGGTTCAGGAGTGCTTCCTCTCCCTCACACACACACATTCTCTGTCTTTCTCATACTTACTTTCTCTCTCTCTCTCGCTCTTGTCTTTCTTTCTCTTTCTCTCCCTGTTGTCTTTCTTTCTCTATCTCTCCCTCTGATGCTACCTCTCTTTCCCTCTCTGTCTCTGTCACTCTCTCCCTCTTTCTTTTTTTTCTCTCCTACTCTTTCTCTTCCCCCCTTCTTCTCTTTCTCTCTGTGACTCCCTCCCTCTCTCTTTCTCTCTTCCTCTATCTCTTTCTCACTCCCCCATTCCCCCCTTGGAAGTCTACTCAGGGGTCTTTATCTTTTGTCATGTTGTTACCTTTGGGCCCTGCCTTCCCAGGAACGCCAGGTGGACCTTGAGCTCCTGCAAACCCAAAGACACCATTTAGCACAATGGGACCTAGACCATTCTATTTGAAAATCTTTGCACTGAGTGGTAAGGTCCCAGCTGCCTTCTGTTGTAGCTCCTGATAATCTTCAGGCTTGTAGAGTCCCTGGGACATGGAGCTGGGGTGGCCATGGGTGGGGTGCTGTTTGTCACAGTTGTCGCCTGCTGGTTGGAGCAGCCTGGGCTGTAAGTTCCAGTGAATGTGTGGATGTTCCCATTTGCTCTTTGGGTAAAACCTGAGCACAACCCTTTACAACCAGGGACCCAGGTCTGCACCTGCAAGGCTCTGCTGTTTAGTGAGGGGGCTAGAACAAGGAGCCCTTTCTCAGACTCCTGGTCACACATGTCCTTGTGAAGAGGGGGGTCCTTTGGTGCAGAGGGCCTCATGAATGTTCTGAGGGACACCAGGAACCAGGCAGCATCCAGGTCAGCATTATCACTATTGTTTTTGGAGGAGAGATGCCCTGATCACTGACCTCAGTCATGTCTAATTTGGAAGTTCAGGGGTCAGGGGTATGGGGCATGTCCTGAAACTGATTCAGGTTTGAGTCCATTTCCTCCCTTTACAGGGTGAGGATGGGGAAAAGATCCTTAACATCTCTTGGTTTTGGTGTCCTCTCCTGATTCAGGTAGAGGAGAGTTCACAGCCAGGGCTGTGGTGAAAAAGGAGAGGGATGTGGAAATGGAAGTGTCCACGTGGACCAGTGGTGAGTCAAGACCAGAAACCAACACGCCCACTGAGAGCTCACAGGGAATTAAGTAAGACACAAGGTGCTCTCGGGTGCTTTCCAATCCCCAGCTGGGCCTTGGTGTTGGCTTTACATGGGGCCAGACCCAAGCCCCCAATCTGAGAGCCACCCTCAGGCATGGGCACTGTGGGACCTGATTTAGGAAAAGCAGGTCGGTGACCCCTCCAGGCCACATCCACCCCAGCCTGCCAAGCACATACCTCGCTCTCCATTGGCACCTGCTTCTCCCTTGGGTCCAGGAGCTCCGGGCAACCCTGGGCAGCCTCGGAGAATGCTGAGCTTGTCAGAGCCCTCCAGACCCACCACCTTCACCTCTGCAAGAAGGCACAAGGGGTCCATCAGTGGGGGCGTCCCAGGGCAGAAAGGCCCCATGGAGCTGACAGACAAGTGCCAAAGAAGGAATCTGCCCTCAGGAGCTGTGAGCCTGGGCAGCTGCCAAGATAGCTGCTAGCATCAAAGCCTCAGCTGGAGTGTCAGCTGGGAGTGAAAGGTCTCCATTGTGGTGAGGCTGGGCTTCTGCTCTTCCTGGGATGCTTGTCAGTGATGGACAATGGGACGAGGGGCAGGTGGACCCTGAGAAAGAATCTGATCTCCAGTCCCTCATCCCTCTGGGCTTTTGTCCCCTCAGCTCCTAATGAGGACAGAAATAGGGCTCTGGGGAGGATTAGATCAGATAATGCAAATTAAGAAAAAAGTCTTAATATAACTCATGGCATTCAGAAGAATTCCGTAAACAGCGACTTTTTTCAATAAATAATAGCAATAGTTATTCTTAAGGAAATTGAGGGATTTGAGTCAGCAGGCATCTCCACTCCCAGATTCTGAGAATGTAATTAAGTAACTACAGAGCTGGGGGTCTCCAAGGTCTTCCCAGAGAGGGGAAGGACACAGAGGAACAGTAGGATAAGGCAGAAATGGAAAAAGTAGCTTTACTTACTTCTTTTAAAATTATTTTTAAATTTGTCGATTACTAACTAACATAAGCTCCTAAGAGACAAGTTGGAAAGTACGGAGTGAGCTGCACTGTCACTGGGGACACAAGAGGCCACCACTGTTGGGCACATTTCCTTCCTGTCATCCTCTCACCAGACCAGGCAGTAACATGCATATATAAACATGTCATCAGACACCTCTGGAGGTGGCTGGCTCTGTCATTAGGAGCAATGTTTCACCAAGAGTGGTCCAGAGCCACCTGTCCCAGACATGTGATGGCAGGATTTGCCCAAGGACAAAGTTCAAAAGGCAAGAAAGGATAAGAAAGAAGGAGGAATGAAAATGGGAGCACAGAGAAGAAGTAGAATGAGTGCTGTTACAGTGAGGGGATTGCATCAATGGCATGAAACAAAATGTGTTGATAAACTGATATGCTCTGTAAACCTAAATTATATCACAATGCAAACATTATTGTGGTGAAATATATAGAGCAAAGCATTTGCCATTTTAAGCATTTTTAAGGGTTCAATTCAGTGATATCACTCACAATCACAGTGTTGTACTATCATCACCATTATCCACTTCCAAAAGTTAGAAACCTGTGTTTTAACACCCTCTACATAGCAGAGGGCCACTGCATTGGAGGATGTGACAGCACCCCTCCAGTGAGCCCATGTTGTTGAGGTTCAAAAAAAAAAAAAAAAACCTCACTGCCATTGAGTTGATTCAACTCAACCCCTCCTTGGGTTTCCAAGTGGTATCTCTATGGAAATAGATTGCCCAGTCTTCCTTCCGAGGAGTGGCTGGTGGGTTTGAACTGCCAGTCTCCTGGTTAGCAGTCAAATGCCTTAAGCACTACGCCACCAGGGGTTAGTTGCCATCAAGTCAATGTGATGCATGATGACCCCATGTGTTCAGAGTAGAACTTCTCTATAGGGTTTTCAAGGCTGTGACTTTTCACAAGCAGACCACCAGGCCTGTATTCCAAGGCATCTCTGGGTGGGTTTGAACTGCCAACTTTTTGGCTAGAAGTCCAGCACTTAACTGCCTGTTCCACCCAGGGAGTCTAGGAAGACAGAAAAGATAAACACTTATTCCCCTGTTCAGCAGCAGCATTGAGGCCTATATGTAAAGCTTCATAGTGCAAAACATGGGGTCCAGAGTCAGACAGACCTAGTTTTCAATCTTGTTCCTTCCCTCTTAGCTATGTGGCCTTGGACAAGTCACTCATGTTCTCTGGGACTCTTGATAAGAAGATCCCTGTAAAGGCTCAGCCTGGGACAGTCTGGATGACCAATGAGTAGTGGTTATCAGTTTGTAGGGACCAGAAAATTGGGTTGCTCTCACCTGGACAGGTGTCAGCAGCCTGGACAGTCAGAGCCTGCAGGCGCAGGAACAGAATGAGGTAGACAGCAGGCTCCAGGGCCATGGCGGCTGGGCTCAGCTTCACCACTTCTGGTCTTTGACTTCAAAGAAGCTTTTAGCCTTTATAAGGCTGGGGAAGCACCTCATCCTTGAGCTGTGATTTCTCAACTCCCATGGGGACATCACTTCCTACAGGCATTTGGTTGCATTAACAGGAGGCAAGAGATAACACCCAGCAAGCTTCTCCTCCACTGCATTCACTTCTCCCAGCAAGGACATCCTGCTCCCACACAAGAGGCTCCGAGACCCCTCTGCTGGGCAATTTCTGCTCATTTGTGGCTGATGCCTCCCAGCCCTAACCTCTCTCTCATCCTTAGCTCTGCCAACACAATCTCCTGAGGCCTCCACTCAGGATAAGGAAAGTTTTGCTGCAGACCTGTCTCGTTCTCATCAGAATTCACAGAATACAAAGGCCTTTGGTGTAGAGGCAAGGGAGAACCTTTGAACTCCATTCTGTTAAGTACTAATTACATCATATAATAATTACACTAGCCCTGTTACGTGGATACTGTTATTTGAGTTTTACAGATTGGAGTCACACAGCTCATAGGAGGCAGCTGTTGAACTCAACTAGACTCTACCCGACTAGAGGGTTGGTGTTCCTTCAAGTGTTTATATTTCATGAGACTTGTACACTACCTTGTCCTGCTTTGGTTTTTAGGAATTACTGTAGACACATGTTGCCCTATCTAACAGAATTACAACTTCTCAAATACAAAGATGAAGTGGAGCCTTGGGCATCTTGATGCCCAGAGACCCAGCATGCAGCAGGCCCTCAATGAGACTCTTCTTGCAGCTATTGATCATAGGAAGTGCTGACCAGCTCTTGTCCTTTCCACCCTCTGTTGGTATGCCTTCTCCACCCCATTAACAAGGGAGGGTATGGTGATATCACTCTAACGGACAACCTCGGTGAGCACAGTTGGTATGGAGCACCCATCTCTCCATGCCAGCTGGAAGACCGGGAGAGTGCTGCTTCTCGTTCAGGGGTGAGGAGTTGGCTAAGCACTGGTCTATGGTGGATGCCTATCCAACCTCTGAAAACTTCTTAGGGCAAATTTTCTTCTTTGCAGCTCTTTACTGGTGTCTTCAGGGACCACTGATCATCTTTCTTAGTCACCTCATGTTGCTGTAATAAAAGATACCACAAGAGGGTGACTTTAAAGGACAGAAATTCAATGTCTCATAGTTTTCAGGGTTAGAAGTACAAATCAGGGCATGGGCCCTAAAGAAGGGTCCCTTTCTGTCCATATCTCCAGGTGTGTCCCTCCTTGTTGGAAACTGCAAGTGTTTATTGGTGTTTCTTAATTGCTTATAGATATATCTCCACATGGTCTCTGTCTTCCCTCTGTGTGTGTCTGTCTATTTTCCTTTTTTATAAGACACTACTCAGAAGGGATTAGTTTTAGGATTCACCCTACTACAGTAAGGTCTCATTAACTTAACAAAAGAACACCTCTATTTCTAAACAACAATATCTAAACATTTACAGACACAGAAGTTAGGAATTCTGGAGCTTTCTAAATATGGCCAATGATTTAGAACACCTTGGCAAATGTGAATTTGAAAGCTTTCCCTCTATGCAAACTGGGATTCATAGCCTTTCGCCATTTCTCTCTATCAGGATTGCTGTCTTTTCATTGGTAATGCCGTGTCTTTTCTAGACATTGATGACTTGTTAGCTTAAGACATTGCAAATATCTTCTTCCATTCTATCAGTGCTCCGTTAACTTTGTCTTTATAGCTCTTGACCTTATAATTTTTGCTTTAAAAATTTGGTCAAAGTGCTGTTTCCTTCACCAGCTAGCAAACCGCCTGTCCTTCTCCCCATTGGATTTGTAGTGCCATCTTTGTGGTGAATTAAAATACCATGTGTGGTCAATAGGCCATGTCCCTGAGCTCATGCTTCTAGTCACTGCTTTTGTGCCAATGCCACATGTCTCTGCAGGATGCCTTAATTCTCATAGGGCAAATTTGTCCTGTTCACTTTTCTTTAATAAAGTAGAATTTGCTGGTTGTGGACCTTATTCTCCAAATACATCTTAGATCACTTATATTGAGTTCCTAAAAAAATTTTTTTTTTTTTTGATTGGGATTGCATTGAATTTATGGGTTAATTTAGAGACACTTGACATCTTTATAACTTAAGGTCTTCCCATCCAAGAGCATGGCATCTATTTATTCTGATCTTCTGCATTGCATGGCAGAGTTTTAAATTTTCCTGTGTAGAAGCCTAGTGTCTTCTTGGTTAGGTTAATTCCTAGATATTTTATGGTTTCTGTCACTGAGATGGAGGCAGGTTTTTTAATTTATGTTTTTAAATAGATTATTGCTGGGGGAAAAAAAAAGATGTTGCTTTTTGTAGGTCAATATCCAGTATGTATGTTGTTTTCCTAGGTAGATCATTCAATCAGATAGTGCCTCAATGACTGTGAAAATGGCCCAGATTACTAAGAACAGAACAATTGCTTTCCCTTTTTCCTACAGTGGGAAGAATTGATTTTTCAGAAACAATCAGACATAAAAACCATTAACCATCTTCTCTCCGGTGGAGTCTGTGAGCCCACTTCACATCATGGAGTGCCTCCACCTGCTGGACACTGAATCATAGGAGAGGCAGCTCCTGTCCGCAAGGAGCTTAAGTGTGGTGGGGAAACTAGGGCATGGATTCAGTCATGAGAACACAGGAATGAGCTCTGCGTCCATTTCTTCCTCTCAGCTTTGGCATTACCAGCTCCTGCCTCCTCCTAGAGCACACAGCATACCCAGCCCCCATACCCCATAGCCAAGCATGCTCCTCTACTCAGGTGCTCCTGGGGGTGGTGCCGACAGGAATGAGCTCTGCCTCCATTTCTTCCTCTCAGCTTTGGGATGGGCAGGCAGCAGTGAGAGAGGCGCCCAGCATTCTGCTCAATATAGTCACCTCTTCCCCTCCCTTCCTTCCTTTTTCTGGTCTCCCTTTTCCTAGCTCCATTCCTGCCAGACCCCGAGGCTGAGGCCGACAATGACACTTGCCTTTATAAAGCCTGTCTTCCAGCTTCTAAGAACACTGAGGTGCTTAGCAGCTCTTCGCAGCCAATGGGAGATGGGAAGGCAGGACTGAGGACAGCCAGCCAGGATGGAAGAAAACCTCATTCTAGCAGCTGCCTGGAGGTCAGCCGGCCACTGAGACAGAAACACCCAAGGCTCTGGCAGGAAGTTAGCTTCACCCTGCAGCCCATTTTAATTTCCCAAAGATAATAACACTGGCTGCAAAGTATCTGCCAGGTTCCTGAAGACAGATGACCAGTGTTTGCAGGCTAATAGTTTGTGTCAGAGTAAATTGGAATTTATATCTCAGGAGGCAGATAATCCCCATTAGGGCTCAGTGGCATCCCAGGATTGGAAGTGTTTGTGCAGGCTGCTCTCTGAAGAGCAAATGGAAGACAGAGCTCCACAGAGGAGCCCAGCCTGCCCTCGGCTGCTTGTTAATATCTTAATTGAGTCTGTGAGCCCTAGGACACTGTGGGAGAAGCAAACCCTGTCCGCGGGATAAAGGTTGTCACCTTCTGGAAACGCAGGGAAACAGATCAGGGAAGTAGGGTTGGTTTGTTTTGCTTTGCTTTTGGGATCTTTATTACTACTATTATTATTGTAGTGGAAGTATACACACCAAAATATTTGACAAAACAACAACTGCCACATTTACAATTCAATGACATAGGTTACATTTTTCATGTTGTGTCACCGTTCCTGTCAGCCTTTCCCAAAATATACTACCATTAACATAAAATCAAGCCCCTCCCCCAAACAGAAGCTTCCTTTTTCCCTCTCTTCCATCCCTGGTGACCACAAAACAGCTTTGGATTCCAGATTTGCTTATTTCATATGAATGGAATCATATAGTATTTGCCCTTTCGTAACTGACATATTTCACTCAGCATAATGTTTTCAAGGTTCAGCCATGTGTGACAGACATCAGGACTTCACTTCTCTTTATGGCTGCCTAATATTCCATTGTATGGCTAGACCACATTTCATATACCCACGCATCTGCTGATGGACATTTTGGTTGTTTCCACCTTTTGGCTGTTGTGAAAAGTGCTGCAGCAAATATTGGTGCACAGTTTCTGTCTGTTTTCTTGCCTTCATTTCTTCTGGGTTGTTGTGGAGTTTTTAATTTTTTGATGCTTTGGAACAGACCAGAAAAATCCAGAAGTGAGCCCACACTTAAATTAGAGGAGCTGTTATTGAGATTCCAGGCCTTTCTTCTGCATCTGCCCCCAGGCCCAGCACATATCTCCTTTGATCTTGATTTGAACAGGCCAGGTCCCCTGCCACCTACCACCTAACTGAGGACCAAATGGCTGTTCTATGTAATGCTGGGTAAGAGGAGGGGGACTTAGGCTGACAAACAGCGGTGCACCCCAATCCACGACCCTGTTCCCCAAGTCAGCATGCAAACATGTTTACTCTGCATGAGAGGACAGGATGCAGCCACTCAGGACAGTTATTCCTCCCAGTGGATTTGTTTTTTTAACTTGCATTAAGACAGGATTAACCTTGCTGAAGGGTGTCGCAATGCAGGTGGAATGTAGAAAATTAATCCCAGATACAGGTCTCCACAGAAGTGCTGAGTGGAATCAAATATTCAATGCATGAAAACACCTTCACTGTCCCCCTCCCTCTTTGCCATTGCTCACTGAAATGCAACTTGACTGAGTCTTAGGTTTGAATGGCCAGCTCTTCTCATCATTCCCAGTGTCCCTGATCTTGGTCACCCCAGGATAAGAGATGCTATGGATGGCGAGTGGATGGGTGTTCAGCCCCCAGAAAGCTTACAGTGTTTGCTGGGCTCTTCTGTGCCTGAGATAGATGTAGAGCCCCTTCAAGACAACTCTGACCCAGGCACAGCACTATGGGGGACAGACTAGAGCCCCAAAGCCCAGGGCAGGCACCTACCTGGGCATGGGCAGAGCTGTTAGGCACATGGGGAGGGTGGTGTTGTAGGGCCAGACCCAGGAG